AGCTTCCCTGAAGCAAATTGGAATGAATATGACCAATAGAAACCTATTACCCATAAATCATTGGGGAATACTGACCCTGAAACCTGTGGTTATTTCTATCTTCCATCCAATGAGCAGGCTTTATGCAGCAGAAGAGGTGTGACTTAAGTCACAAATGGACGAGAAAGACTGAGAACATTGAAAACTGAAGAAGTAGCAGCGTATCAGAAATCTCCTCTGGTCGTAACACTTAAGGGGAAGAAGCAGAACCATTCAGAGGGACCAGAGAAGGAAGAGTGCTCTTTATCCATTAGTGCTTCAAGGAAAAGAACTAATGTTTGAGAAGAAACATCAACTAGCTGGAAGTTGGCAAGTAAGATGGAGCTTCTGAATATAACCTGTGGATTCCATCCTTGAAGACGACTTTCAATCTAGAGGATATGTGCTGGGTTTGCAGTTCTGGCACACAGCTGTGGGTAGCTGAGTAATTCATAAGGTTTGCCTTAAGTTCTGGCTTGTAAGCATGTCTATGATTTTTATATTGTCTCCTGGCAATTAGGTCTCTCTCTTCTGTCAAATTTCGTTTGTCTTAACTTTGAATGTGCAGGTGTTCAGTCATTCTAATTTTTTCTAATTGTTACCTGATTTCTACCTGTGTATATCCATAAATGTATGGTCATAACATTTTTTGTCTCGACTGTAAATATACTCCAAAATTTTACACCTGTTGTTGTTTCCTGAAGCCCTGGTGGTAGCCCTGCCGTAAAAACCTACATAGATGATTCTAACTCAGTTTTACAGAAAGCCTTTTGGAAGTCGTACCAAATCCTTTTCCTGCCCTTGAAGCTCTTGGGCCAGTTTTTCTGCTTTTATACCTTCAGATCTTTTTAACTTAATACCAGGAGTCTCTTCTGGTGTATGTTTCCTCTTGTCTGTCTGGATTTTTCATCACCAAGGCCTGAGTCCCATGAATTCTTCAAGTATTGTGAACAGTCCTTTGAATTTACTGCATAACTTATTAAAGCATGCCGTTATTTACATTCTCTATTTGAAGGGATTGAAAGAAAGAAATGAAAGAAGGAAAGAAATTGCATGAACGAAAACTGTGAAATTGGTTTTGTGACAAGTTTTGTCGTATTTTTTTGAAAAGAAAAGAGATTGTATTTTTTGTTATTGTCTCTTCAGTCATGATCTGTCTGGTGAAGGTCTAGCTGTAGTAAATACAACATTTTCAAGCAGAAGAGTGATTTTAGCTTGACAGTCTTAGTGTAATACGTATGCTATACTTCTTTATGCAATGAATTATTTATTTATTCTAAAAACAGAAGAACCAGGAGCATTAATATTCAACCATTTAACATATTTTGCCATGTTGTTATTGTTATGACTGCATATTTTTCTTACTGACCA